GGGGGGGGGGGGGGGGGGGGGAGAGAGAAGAAAAGGTGTAGAGGAAATGAGAAACTGGGGAAGAAATTCGATTTATTTTATAATCAAAAGTTGTTCCAATTACACTACATAGACCCCTTTATATAAGGTATAAACTAATGCTAAATGAAGCTAGAAAATACTCTAAATAAATACTAATTATGTTTTCTAAAATGTGCATTAATATTGGAAATTAAATATAATGATATCCCTTCTCATTCTTCATCATTTAAATGATGGAGAATTAGAAGGGATATTATTGTTAGTTTCCAGATTTAAATGCTTATTTTAGGAAAATGTTATTGTAGTTTGAATTATTACCTTTTGTTGTATTTTTTCCCTTAGTATAGGCCTTTTGAAATTCTATATAAAAGGATGTTATGCTATGTAATCGACAATCTTGAATGAATAAAACTTCATCTTTCTTCCCCAATTTCTCTCTATTCTCTTCTTCTGCTCTCTTTCCTCCCTCATTTCTCTTCTTTTCTCCCCATTCCCTTTCTCCGACAAGTGTTCTATAACATCCAACGTCACTACCATTCAGAAAAAGCATTGTTGACATCCAATTGTCTCACTGTCCAGAACTTGCTCAAAGCTATAGAATAAACAACTTGAATGGTAGTTGGTTTGACCACCAGACTTAAAAGTTTCAACTTTGTTTGTCTTTCTTTCTTTCACATTCGACCACATTATTTTTTTTTACAGTACTAATTTTCAACCACATATTATTCATTAAAATAATATTATACGTAAATCAAAAATTTTTCTTTCTTTTTTAATCATAAATTTCAACATCAATCACTATTTCATAATACATTACTAAAAAATAATGGGGCACAAACAAGCACTAAAATCATATCTTGCAACCTGCTAAAAACCTCTGGCCTTGTACTAATATACACTGCTACCTGAATTCTCCTCAACTTTAAACACCCATTTATACCCAATGGCATTTTGCGTATTTAACGGCTGGGGGAACGGAGGTGAGAGGCTGATAAATAGACTCGCTGGGAAGCACTATAGGGTCTGCAGATTCAGAAAATGAGACAAGGATCCTGATGTGGCATTGGAGAGATAATTGGAGTTTGAGAAGCTGTGGTAAGTTGAGATGAAGCTGAAGGAACTGACCGGAGAGTGTTTGATGTAGGACGCCATACAAGAAGAGGGAATGACTGAGACTGTATGGAAATGCTGATGGTCGACTGAGAGGATGGTTTGGGAAAACTAAAAGTATATTAATCAAAGATCATCATCGCGAGAGAGAATGATTTTCCCACTGGTATCCAATCACTTGTATCCGATGCAATGCTTAGACCTGAATTGGAGTTTATGAGCATTGTATGTGCCTAGTGTTCGGATAGTAAGTGCGGCCAAAGACTCGTAGTTGAGAATATGTTGGTGATGCGCGAAAATAGGATTTCAATAGGAGTCCTTCCTTGAACTGCAATTGGGAGTCTAATCAAAAAAATCGATGCTTTAAAGGCTTCACCCCAATATTTAAGTGGCATAGAAGGCTTAGTAAAAGGGTGAGACCAGTCTCTACTATGTACAAGTGTTTATATTCAGCCATTTGTGAGTATATGGACAAGAAAGCCAAAAGTGAGATGCCAAGAGTTGAAAGATAGCAAGTAAATGTCCTAAACTCTCTTCCCCAGTCTATTTGGATAGCCTTGGCCTTTGAGAATGTGTCCCAACTGGACCTCAGCACAGGTTTTAAAGTTCAAAAAGTTTCGGAAAGCTTCAGACTTGTGTCTATACCCAAGTAAACTGAGACAAAAGACCCCAAAGATCAGAGTGAACTGACACTAAGGATGCACTGTAAGTAGTTTCTGATTGGGGAAAAGTGAACTCATGTATTTTACCAAAACAACAAGAGTTACAAACTGTAGGAGTTTTATGATATGAAGGAAGATTACAATAGGAAAGTAGAGTTTTTACAACCTTTTCTGATGGGCGTCCTAGACTCCTAGTCTATTGTGTCAAAGATCAAAGATGATAACAGAACTATCTATCATCTTTATTAGAAGCTGAAAAGGCAACCCATGAACTAAAGACATTACTACAAATAGGAAACGAAGCTGGCGTGTTAGATGCAGCTGATGGTATGCTTCTGATCGAGTGAAATTGGCTGGAGTGCCAAAGATGTAAAGATCTTTAAGTTTACCTCCTTTGAATGGAACACTGAGCGACCTACAAGTTTGATAGAGAGAGCCTTGACATTTCCCATGCACACTTGTTGTGGACCACTGAACTCTGTAGTAGACATTAGATTGGTCGAGTAAGCTGTTACGTGGCTTGCGGCACCTGAGTCGACATACCAGCTAGCATCACAAACCGTCTTAGCCCCCTATTTGGTGGAGATTAAAATCGGATTTGTAGTGGATTTTGATAAAAGTTGTTGAAAAGTAGTGGGTTCTATAAAATGTGTGGTTAAAATTAATTGTTGATTTTGACTTAGATTAAAATCTAGATTTTAATCTGTATCAAACAGGGGTTTCGTGTAGGCCTAACCGTTGGTCGAGTCATCTCAACTAAATAGATTTTGGCATCAACAATTTCCATGTCATTAAATTTCATTTATTAAAATTGATAAAGAAATAGGAATCTTGAGCTATTCTAAATTGATTGTTATAAAATAAAAAATAAAATCGAGCATCTATCGAATGGTATTGAAGATACAACTATATATATTTCGTTTCTATCGATTTGTAATTTAAATGCAACACTTGAATACTTTCTCAATTTAAAAGACAAGAAAAACTACTTTGAGAATTTCTCATCTTCTAGTTTTGTGTAATTCATCTTTGGTTGCAATGCTTAGAATCCACGATAGATCCTTGATGCCTGAATATTTTTTTGCCTCTGCCTCTGCCTCTGCCATAGACTCTTGAACTTTATTTCATCAACAAAAGAACTTATTTATTTTTAATGAAGAAATACAATTTATTATCTAAAAATAAATAAAATTTAATCACATATCTATTTATTTTCCTCGAAATTTTAGTGCAAACTTATTTATTTTTTCACGCCTCCTTCCTCGTCGCCCGTACTCTTTCCCTTATTTCTCAAAAAAGGTATAACATTGTAATAAACCCCAAAGCCTGCAATAGTAATGCTCAGAGCTATGAGAACTAAAATAGGAAAGAGGAAAATTATAGAAAGCATTTCGTGGTAGGAAAATCAAAATTATATATAGAAATAGGTAAAATTCACAAAAACAAACTTAAAAAATACTATTTTTCGTTAGGGGGAAATGAAAGGATAAGGAAGGAGATGGAAAATTAGAAAACTAGTATTTGGTGCATCTTCTTTAATTATGATAACAATGGCTCTATAAATATATTTATTTATAGGTTTTTTGCATGCAAAATTGATTAATTGATTTGCACAATCAATTTGAAATTAATTAAATACGTACGGTTAATTTCAAATTCATTTGCAAATTAATTAATTAACATCACAATCATATTTGAAATTAATTCTTATTTCAAAGAAAACTGAAATTAATTTGTAATTCCCACTTGCCTCAATTTAACTGTGTGAAAATTACAGGGAGACAAGTTTAGAAAATTGCATTTCAAAAACTAAACAAGTTTAAGACTTGCTTATTGAAAAATCAGGTCATAATTCAATTTTTACTATTAATAATATTATTAGTAAACACATTTTCTTTATTTACCTCTATCTTCTCTCTTTTCTCTGTCCATCTTCTTTCTCTCTCTAAATATCATAATCTGGCAGAATCCATTGGGGGGACCCTGTACACAATCTTGCGACAACCGTGCTACAATGCCCACCTCGGGGACAGGGGATTGAGGTGGCATCACCTCAGCCCTCGATTTCAACTTTTTTTTTTTTCAGATCCAATGGCCGAGGTATTGTCACCTCAACACCCTGTCCCCGAGTCGGTCCCCGAGCCTGGCCACATTGCATTTTCCATCCAGCTAAATCTATCAACTCAGCGAGAATGGCTGCTTATTTGATAAAATGGAGTTCTTTTTGTAATTTCTTTTGGCGTTTCTTAAATGCACTCCCATTGGCTTGAATATATCATGTTTTGTGCATTAAGTGTGGGTACTTGATGGCCATCATCAAACATCAAATGGTGAATGTTGCATCTTATTCTCCAAATTTTGGTAAAATCTCTTTTGTATTTTAACATCTTCAAAATCTGAAAATTTAAGCCCAAGATTTTGAGTTGCGTGGAGAGATTCCAATTATTCGGGTGATTAAGTTTATTTGTCCCTTTTTTGATGAGATCTTAGTTTGACTCTAGATGAGTCCGAACGTAGCAAAAGAATTGGATTAATTTATCTATGAACATTGAACTTTTCACTATACGTCGCTCGTAATTGAATCGTACAAAATGCTTCATTCAAATCACCAATTCATATTTTTACGCATCTCAGCCAAGTCAAAAGATTTATCTAAAAAGGTAATGTATTTATCAACACTTACATAAAACATCGATCTAAGTTGCAATAACGTAAAATTAAATTAGATGTACAATTAAATAAATCACTTAACTCTACATTTCATTGAATCTATCACTTAGCACCATCTAAATTTGGTATTGTAAAACCAGTGATGCCAAATAACATTATTCTATCTAAAAATATTAAAGATTTGGCAACTTGACACAAACATGTAGGAGCCAAACTAAATTAGTGAGAGGACAAGGTTAACACTAAATACAAAGTTTAAAATAAACCTCCTAAATAACAGTTAGCCCTTGTTTGATAACAATTTTTCACCCCCAAAAAATTAATTTTTCAACCTTTATTTCACTATTCAAGCCATTATTTTTAACTTCTTCACTTACAAGTGGAACCCACTTTTCTCTAACGATCAAAAAATCAATTATCATAATAACATCAAACAAGCCCTTAATTATTAGCTCCAACTTAATTTTTAACAAGAATGTTGATTTGAGAACGAATATAGCAAGCAGAGAGTTGGAACATAATCAACTCAAGAATCAAAACCTTTTCTTGAAGAATCCCAAGTTCTTAAACATAGGGACCCGAGTCCCATTGAAGACGACCTATCATTTACATACAGACTGGTGCTATAGCACTAATACAAGATTTGTAATGGAGCATAATAATACTCTAAGTAATAGGTGAAGGGCAGCACATAAAAGGGATTGATCTATGGATGTAAAATATGGTCTAATTAGTCCTTCCTTTCAAACCTGTCACAATAGTTTCAGTTTTAACAACAATATGAACGAAACTCTGAAGAAGGGTAAGGGTCACTATTCTTTACACCAATTTTTAGCAAGCATGGTTCTCAATTTCAATTTCCCAACTAACACAATTCTATAAGAATCTCGCAAAAATTGAAGAAACAAGAACGGTATAAAGGTACCAAAACACTTTAACCAGCAGACAAAATAGGCAGCATCTTTTAGTTATAATCCTCTGAATTAATAAAATCCCCGATCCCTATGTTCAGCAACCTGCAATATGAGAAAAGGGTGTGGGTTATGCGCATTTAGCAAGAAAGAAATGCAATATTATAATATAATCACATTTGTTTAACATTTTGAATAATTAAAATAAAAATGTTTAGACCTTTTTGATTCAGTTCTTAACATTGCTTTTGAAGGAAGAATTTAGTTTAAAGTTTAACTCTGCAGTATGAAGATCTCATATGTAATTACGCATTGCCCATATGACAGATGGGAGGTCACAATTTAGTTGCATGAATCAAGTGCTCCAATTGTTTCTTCCCAGTTTCTAGGACGGGGATGTTTTTGAAACTAAAATCTGATAATGTAATGAGCAATCTATAAAGTTGCACTGAAACAGATCCCCAAGAGGGCAAGACTGAGGAGGATAGGCCTCAGCTACCCTCCTCAGCTACCCTAGGCTTGTGCCATGAGGTTTGAACCTCTTTAAATCAAGGTCAAGCCTTCACAAGGGCCAATTGAAGTATGAGCTTTATGGCCTCTAACAAAAGCTTCACATGGAGGCAGACCTCAAGGCGTGTGCCTTGAGTCAAAATTCATTCTCAGAATGCAACAGAAATATCCTGAAAAACAAATAGTGGTGCCTCCAATTATAAAATCTTAATTTAAACTCTAATAACATGATGTGACATGCACTAATATAAACAAGTGAATAAAAACCAGAATACACTTGAAAACTACGAAAAAGTCTGACAGTTTAGGAAGGTAGCAGGGGGAGGGCTGCAGCCTGCAGCCAGAGCATGCTGTAGCTTCACCAATGCAATCAGGGATATAATGATTAAGGGAATTCAAAAAATCGACGTCTTACTAATAAGGGTACTCACAGTTCATATGAACAAATGGAAATAAAAAATAAATCTGAGCAAGAGGAAGGTGCAACGATACATGTTATTACTTAATAACTGAACTTGGAAACCTACCTCATTGGTCACTGAACATTCTAGTGTGTTATCCATCCATCACCGTGATGGATTCCATTTCATCTCTTTTACGGAATTGCTTACGTGGCATATCGAAAGGGTTAAATATATCATTGGTCGGTGAATTATAATTCATGTTACTACTTAATAACTGAACTTGGAAACCTACGTCATTGGTCACTGAACATTCTAGTGTGTTATCCATCCATCGCCGTGATAGATTCCATTTCATCTCTTTTACGGAATTGCTTCCGTGGCATATCGAAGTCCAGCACCACTTAGATGTTATATATCACCACTCAACAAAATTAAAAACAAACACACTAACTATCAAATATACTTAATAAGACTCGATGTCTCTCATTGTAAGAACTCTCATTATATGGAACCAAAATCACCACTAAATATGGTAGCAATCTGTTGAATTTTATGCCCAATAATAAAGAGATGAAAGAAATAAATCAACACAAGTATTTACATGATTTGACGATGTGCCTACGTCCACGAGGAGCAAAGCAGAGATATTTTATTCAGTATGAATAATAAGGTTATATCATTAGTATTTATACTAACCCTAACTCAAACCCATACAAGACTTTAAGGTCATACAAGAAAATACCCTTACACCGTACCACGGGGCATTGCCCTCGCAACCCCAATCCATTTAGCGTCAGCGTCCCAGGCAAACAAACAGTAAATTAAAACTTACAAGACCAGTAAACCTACGTTCCACTCTATATTAGCACATACACAGCACAATCAATTACAAAATTAACTAATGGTAACCTATAATTTTTTTTGGAAGGCAGTAACCTATAATTTTAAATATGGTAAAAACAATCTATTTATATATAATACAATTATAGTCGTAATCTTCAACGATCTTTGTAATTTTATTTAACCTCATTAACATCCCCCTCAAATTGATGTCGGTAAAAGCATCAATTTGCAATCATGAACTGGCGAAGATGATAAACTTGTGCCCACAAAGAAAAAAATCCAAATTAGAGCAATTATGTACGAAAATTAGTGACGAAGAGAGACCAAAAATAACAAATAGTGTAGAAACAACTAAGAACTACTTCAAAGCCACTCCAAGAACAGTCCAAAGACATCTCAGAGAGCTCATACCCCAAGAAGAATTTCCAAAAGAAAGTCACGAAGTGTGTCCACACACATAGTGAGCTCTACTTATTGGAAGAACTCAATCGAACATATAATGCATGTTCCGACAAAAGCTCTAACGGCCAATGCACCGGACCAAAAATCCAACGTTATATTGCAGACCAAGATGCTACAGTTGGAAGAAATCCCATCGAACATCGTACACCAAAAAAACTCAAAGATGATCCTTCTCTGAGAATTCAAAACTCTAACTCATCATCCGAGCAACCAAAACTCATCTGCACTCCCATATCTCTTGATAAATCCCCAGCAACCAAAACTCGTCTGCACTCCCATGTCTCTTGATAAAGCCCGAGCAACCAATCAACACCTAATCTTGATAAAGCCCACTGCTTTGAACAAGAAGAAGCCTTAAATTTGAAATAATCCAATAAAGCTGTAGGCCTAAAAAAATTAACTTACGCCCAATCTAGAAAAAAGATGTTAATATTTGCTCAATCAACAAATAAACCAACAAATCAATTCGCGGCAAGCCTTACTAAACTAAAATAATTAACAGCACAGCCCAATAACAAACAAAAGAAAGGTACAATCTGAAAATAATGTTTGCGGCCCCGGAGGAACAAACAAATTGAAGGCCGAATCCCCAAAAAAAGCCTAATATCATTAAACCGGCCCAACAATATACAACCCAATTACCCAACAAACGCAGCTCAACCTGGCCCCAATCACCACAACCCATTACCAAGCACAATTCCAACCCTACACCATCTTCCACGCTCACCGCACCATTAGGGGTTCATACCGCCAACTGAATTTTCACATCATCAAATTTGTCACCTGTAACTGCGCTCGTTGGAAACCACGGAACACTAGGACAAGTCTAGGTATGATCGTGTACTTGACCATGCACAATTTGGACTCCACATTTGTTGCATATGATCGGTGAAGTTCCAAAAGTACACCCAAAACGGTGGGAAGTGCAGAAATGGGGCTCTCCCATGTGCATCCACTCTGATGGAAGAGACATTGCACTTTAACGTCGCCAATTTTGTCCACTAGTGCTTTGTTCGATTCAATTAGTGGCATAGATTCTGATTCTGTCACCAAGTATCCATCATAAGGGAAGGCACGGCTGCTATTAGCAACATGTGCCAAGCAGGGTTTGCAATATAGATGAGTGCACTGAGACTGAAGTGCTTCATTTGGGTATACAAGTGTGCGACAAAGTAAACAAAAGAACTCCCCTAGGTACGTATGAATGTCAATTATGCACTCTATATCAAAACCTAACTTTTCTCAAACATATACTCCAACGCAAACGTGGCACCAAGCTAAATGTGCAAGCATTAGCTCGAATTTCTAAATACTATTTTACCTTGACTAGGTTTTAAAACCTTAGTGTGAGAAATAAATAACACTTCAATAACATCGAGTTCTATATATGGAGTAGTGCAGGGTAGAGCACTTGAGGAAGATGCTATGGCCTAGCGAGCAACACCAGGCCGCTAGCCGGAAACAAAATTCAAAGGTTAATTTGTTTAGGATCAAAACTGCTCTAATACCATGTCAAATATACTTAATAAGACTCGATACCTCTTAATATGAAAGGTTCTTTCATTATATAGAACCAAAATCACCACTAAATATAGTAACAATCAATTATAATATTAACTAATGGTAACCTATAATTTTAAATATGGTAAAAAAAAATCTATCTATAACACAATTATAGCTGTAATCTTCAACGATTTCCGTAATTTTATTTAACCTCATTAACACTAACAATAACATCTCTTCCGACTCCCGTGTTCCAACTAACCCCTCCACCGCCAAAGAAGAGAATTCTCTAGCTTTGAGCTGCAACATAATTGTTAACAGAATTGCCCATCCATTTGACTCTTCAATTTCTAGGCAAATAACCAGATCTCCAAGCTTCAACGAAAAGGAATACTCTTGTTTAGAGCTGCATCATAGTCACAGCCACCACCAGCCAATGCCAAAGGCAGAACCCCAAGCACCAAAAAAGGTAAGTCACTATAACAGTCCCAAAGTGTTAACAAAATCAGCCTACAATTTTTGTTTGATATGATACGGTCATTTGGCCAGAAACTTACTGCTCCAGAACAATCAAGGGAGAGATCAGTTTAAGTAATTGTGCTTTAATCAAGGTTTGTTTATTTTAACTATGAGATATTGTAATTGGGACAGTTCTCATTATTAACAGGTAACCAAAAGAACAAATTAAAGGAACTCAAAGCATCATTTACATTTTTGGAATATTAAATATATGGTCGTCTTGTTATTCAGGGAACTCAAAGCAATAAGAAGATTGGTTCAAACAATAGCAGTTCATAGATAACATTGAGCATTGTATTTTTAGGTGGTTGAGGAAGAAGCTGGGATTCAGTTGTTAGGCTGGGGTGGGAGCAGGTGGAAGTGGGGTGTCAAGGAAGGGGAGAGGTGTTTGTTTAGGGGGGGGAAGACATTTAACCCATTTGTCTCCCATTCTTTCAAAACTTTTTTTTCTACTCATTTTCAACCATACATTTACAGAATAAAATATTTTATGCGTAAACCCAAAGTTTTTTCCATACTTTTTAATCATACATTCTCTAAAAATTCAATATTCAAAACAATGTTTTTCCAAAAAATGGCAACCAAACAATGGCTTATTATTTAGTTTTATTTTATCATTTCGCAAACATGGCAATTTTTAACACAAATGACGCCACGTTGGATGTCCATCAGCTACGTAAGCAATTCTTCAAAGGGTTGAAACATAGTCAGCCTCAGCGATGATGGATAGGTAAAATGTTTAAGAGTTCAATGACAAATAAGATACGTTACAAAGTTCAACCATTTAGTAGTAGCGTGGACTATAGTTCAAAGACAAAAGATATAAAAGTTAAGAATATAGTTAAAAATTGAAATTTAAAGATGTATATCAAATACCTCAATTATTTTTAGTTGGATAATGATTTAATCAACCTATCATATCCTCAAAGAGCTAACAACTGTCTGTCTTTCTACTTAATTTTTAAATCTTCTCATATCTGAAGACAATAGTGATGTATATGCATTATAAAAATTATCATCGCCAGGGTGACAAAGCAAGTTAGTTTATGAACTATAGTCTTTCTTCAAATAAATTGACCACAAACATGAGTAACTCACGTTCAAATGTTTTGCGGAAAAAGAAAAATAAAAAAAAAATAGTAGTCTTTACCAAAAAGGAATGTAAAACCTCTATAAAGCCTTGAAATATACTTGAGACAATCTGGACTGCAACATGAGAAATGTAGCATGGCACAAGCGCCTGAAACTTTGAAATTGACTATATGCATTGCAAGAACTCACTGAAAAAATAGAAATCAAATAAACTTGCAGAAGTTAGGTACAGGTAATAGAATATCAAAGCAAAGCATCAAGATTAATTTACTGAAAGTAAGCTACATATGTCTGATAAAACAAAGAAAACATTTGAAGGTCTCTTGTGCGCAAGGCCAATGTTCCCTTGGTTAATCATTCTTGTTTCTTGGCAACAAAAGATACTGACATCTTATTCTAATCAAGGCCAAAAATGTGAAATTGAGCCATCTTAGCTTGAGCAGAACTGGGATACAATGCACACAAAGTACATAGTAAATTTTAGAGGTTTGATATAAGCTGACGATATTACAAAATAGCAGATAATTGCAGGTGTAAAAGAAACACAATTGATTTCAAAGTAGTAAGGTACAATATCCAGTCAAGTTGTATCACAATCTTCCTCTATTCACGTAATAAAAGATGAGAATAGCATAATAATCTTTTGTTTGACCAAATGTACAATTTAGGGACACAAAACATTAGAGTCAAAAAGGGAGAATCCAAACCACAAACCAAAATAAATAAAGGAGCTGTACCATGGAGAACAGGGAAATAAGAAAAGAAGGGAATATGATAGAAAGAAAAGATGAAGGGAAACAAAAGAGATCATGCCCATAAATTTAGTTCATTTGGCTAACAACAAGAAAGGGAAAAACGATGACATAAAATCTATCGTTTTAAACCATAAATATTTTAGCAGAAAATGGCATCATTCTTTCCCCTTCATTACCCTAGATTCAAAAGCATTATAAAATACCACACTATGCTTTATAAGTTGTTCCTGTTGAAAATAGCCTACTTTACCAGAATATAAAGTCTGCGTTTGAGCCCCATTATATAAAAACTCATTTTCAACCACACATTCTTCCAATAAAATAATTTTACACACACCCAAAATTTTTCCCAAATCGTTAACCACGTGTTCCCTAAAAAAACTATTACAAAACACATTCTTTAAAAAAAAAAAAAATGGGGCTCAAACACACCTAAATTAGTTAGACATTAAAAAGTCCTCAAATAAAATATCTATAAAACTATAAAGATAGTGAGACATTAACTCCAACAGGAGGACTGGAGTATTCAACCTATCTGAAATAGAACTAATAAAGACAAATAGATCTGGCAGTCATCCAATAAGAATGATTGCACATAATTCTCAATCAAACCATCATTTATCAGACAATTTTAAATAAAATCAATTTTTACACAGTACAATAGTATCATGGTTGACATCTCACTTAGTTAAGTTCCACAATTTTAAATAAAATCAATTTTTACACAGTACAATAGTATCATGGTTGACATCTCACTTAGTTAAGTTCATAATATTGGAATATCTTTACTCAAATTTTAAAATATTCACCAGCAGTTAGTGCAGGTTCATAAATACGAACATGTTACAATTCCTGCTTAATGCAAATATGCAGCCAGTTCAACACTTGTTCTACAGTGACGGACAGGTGATTATTTGATCTAAGTCAAATTCAAATTAAGCTTTCAACCCACTTTTTAAAAGCCAGTACTCTTTGAGATGTAGTCCACAGGAAGATTAGTCTCATTTGTCAACTTCATGGCTAGTTATTCCTCGGTCAATAAGAAAGATCATCCAGAATGTGACTGTAACTAAAAATAAACCATTCTCTTTGCTTCTACTGGTTGTTAATATAAATGACTCCTACAAATGATCCTTATTTTTCCTAAGTGTATGCACCGAACTTCTAAAATTCATAGATATATTGAGATGCTGATTTTTATGAGAAAGACGACAACATCTGACCTCCATGTCCCAACTATTTTTATCCTCTTCTTTAGTAGGATAATTTATCCCCAAGCGAGCTTCAGAAATCCCACATGCGTCAGAGGTACAAATGCAACCACTTACGGTGCAATATCATGCAAGTACATGGAATTTTTAAAGCATATTAAGATGGCACGTGTCTATTAATATTCCCACTCCACATATTTTTGTGGACGGGACAAGTTCTTATGAAGCTAAGTGTATAGAAATGAGCAATTTCAACCAAATTTCAAAAATTGATCAACAAAGCAACTGCGAAGAAACGAGATTAGACCTTAGAAACCAGTCGTATTGATCTTCTGGGGAAAACTTTCTGACCAAGTCGGTAGGCACTTCTTAAAATTCTCCCATCATGTTGATGGTAGCCTTCCTGGTATAAACCATTATTCCTCTTTCTCTTGTGAACTCTGCCAGATACACAGTCTTCCGATCTTTTCTTTGATACCCTGGTAACATGCAAATGTCCCCCAAAGAATATCATTTGATGCCAGGATTATCACATTACATTAAACAGTCATAAGAAAGTCATAGAATGAGAGAGGTGATTACCGAGAAGCTTTTGACCCACCAGGGCCGCTCCCTTTCTGCAAACAAGAAGACATTTTCGTTATCTACCAGCAGAAATACTAGAATGAAGTTGCAAAATACATGGCTTATGCAGAACATGCTGCTAAGATATCCCATAGAAACTAAAAATAAAATCTGCACTCTCCCAACAAGGAAAAGAAAATAAAAAATATCAATGATTGTCTAATATGGTAGATATATAGCATATTACTTGTAAGTGACAAGCATTGATTACTTTGTCTACTCAACTAAGTTATTAAATTCATCGCATATGTAAACAAAGTGTCTCTAGCCACCAACTTGATTTGACTAGTGTTGAATTATGTGCAAGAAATGGCACTAGACCATAAGGGTTAAAAGCTCAAAAACTATGGTTGAGGAATTCCATACAAGAAGCAAGATCTAAAAGATGAAATTTAAAATAGATTACCGATTCATCAGGAGTTGTGGGTACATAATGGAAAGAAGCATTGTGATGGACTTCAGTGGCATTAGCCAAACCAATGTTTCCTGTTTCTGCTACATCTACCACAACAAAGCCCATTGAATCGTCATTTTCCACAGTAGAACATGACGCGTTTTGTCTAAGCATTGCAATGCCAGACAAGTGCATCTCAACAGCACCACTTGCTGTTGAAATAGAACATGGGACTGTGCAATTATCTGGTCTGTAACTCTCCTTGAGATCTTCATGACACTTCACACGACCAAGCTTTGTATTTTGATTCTCTGGAGTACTTACCAGTCCATTTGAAACCATACTAACAGAATTGCAATGGAGTTCTATTGGAGAAGTGTGGAACACATTTAACTTCTTGGCTTCTGTTTCCTCATTTCCTGTACAAGATTTTATACCAGGTACTGGCGCGTTCTGGATAAAGGCATTAAGCCTGGGAAGGCGTAGAACTTTATTTTTATCTTGCAAGTGCATAGACATTTCTACAGAGACAACGCATGGTTTTTTCATTATATTACTTGAAAGCCCATCATCTGCATTTGGATATTCAATTCTTGACTCCCTATTTTTTCTAGCGAATGAATCTGGAGAAGGGTCAGTATGTGCACAGTAACTACTAATTCTAAACCCTGCATCCACATTACCCATAAATGAACCCATCAGTTCTTGATGAAAGCTCTGAAATTTATCCATTTGCAAATCCTGAAAAATGCGCACTTCATTTTCCAATCTCTTAGACCAATCAGGCAGGCTTGAACTCAAATCGACGAAAAGGTTTATTCCTTCTTCTGATCTGACACAAAAGTCCAAGGAGGAAACTGAAGTAGAAGATTCAAGAGGAACAGTACCATCCATTGTAGACGTACTATCTATATGTTGAGATCCAGCTATACTGCCAACGCAGTCTTTTTTTGAAGAAAAATAATTGTTTGTGCCAGTACTGATTTGATGGGACTTCCGAGGTCTGAAGTTATATACTTCACATTGAGTAAGGTTCTGTGCACAGGTATTGTCCCATTTCTTGCTGTTGGAATGCTTTTGGATGTTGGACATTGAGCACCCGACTTTTTCAACGTTTTTGAAATCAGAAACCTGAATTAACAATATACAAGAAAGATGAGTTTCCAAGAGGGTTGGTAACAGACATGTTCAAATGCTTAAATGACCTACTGTCCCAAAGATTTAACTCTTTTGCATATTGCTGGGCAAGCCAAAACGTAGCATTTTACAGAAAGAGGCAATGAATGAAAAATGATAAGATGCTTTTCAATATATTGAAGTGGGGCATCAAGTTGTAGGTATACCATGGATAAGCTATTTGATCCTGCCCGTGAATTATACAATGAAGGGCAGGAAAAAATCTTCCTTTGGACACGAGATAGCATATGTTATCATTGCAATCCTTGACCCCATCCTTTTTTCAATTAATTCACAGACATTTCAATAAGCCACATGGAGATATTGGATAAAATGATCTTATCATATAAAGAAGATTAGACAAACAACCTTATCATGAACTCCTGCCTCCTTGAGATTTCCTAGTTCATTGGTTTTAACAGTTTGAGAGTGAATTTCCTGGTCATCCTTCTCTCTCGAACGACTATAAATCCCATGACCATGTACAAAAGATGCAGTAAATTTTCCCTTGCGATCTTCTACACCGAGAAATTAGAATATTAGACTTTTCATAGTTGCAGTATATCATCGGGCATTAAATAATAACTGCACAGACCTTTATTGACTTTGGTTGTCTCGCTCAACTGCGCTCCAGAAAGCAGTCCTGTTAGCAGAGATTTAGAACAGCCATTCGAACTTTCCACTTCCGAAAATAAATTCAAGTTCATCTTCTGAAAATTTGCCAAATATCAGGAACCTGAAAATTATATATGCTATGGGAACTAAAGCAACCACATAGTAGTAACACAAAACATGCAAGTCATTTAATTGTTATATGTAAAACAAGCAAATGAAGTTTATGCTACCTGTGAACATTGCCAATTGATTACATTAATCTAGAAAAGGTGTACGGCAGGGTTTTCAGAAAGTATTACGCTGGGCTTGAAGAAAGAGGATCAAAACTAGGTTTATGAATGACATCAAGATTATGTTGGAATGGGCTATGATCATAATCCGTACTACCATTAGTAGAGTTCAGTGACCCTCCAGTCCTGTAAGGTTTCAGCAATGATCAACTTTAAGTCGGCATTGTTTTATATTTTTCAGTTAAGCTATCAAAAGGCATACACTATGGGGTCCCATGAAATAGATTTTGTGGATGGAATTGTATTGGTGACTGGGACTAAAATAAAATCATTTCCAGATTAAAATTGTGTAGAGCAAGCGAATGAAAGTTGTCAATTTGAAGTACCTCTAGAAGGTAGTAACAATTTGAGGTCACAAAATAACAAAAATTGACAATTTGGCAATGCTCAGGCTCCCAGGGAAGAAGAAATCGCTCATGACGTTACTCAAAAGAAATCGCTTTTGGGTTTTTTGTGATCGTCATATTCTCGCAAGATTACGAGAATTCTATATGTTTATAAGATCACAAGACAATGCAAGTCGAACTATTAAGAAACAACATCCATATAAATATTTTATGGATAAAACAGATATAAGAAATAAACATATAGGTGAGTTGGTAAGGATAGCATTGAGGATACATTGCACACAAATCAATTAAGATTGTGTGGGCATATCTTTAGAACTAGCCCTAAACATAAACCTATAGTGAAAAGGTCCAATCTAAATTCATATGTAATGTGGTAATCAACAAGCACATTAGGCTTTATGGTTTAACTTCAGAGATTATACTTGACACAACATCATAGCTGCCAACCCCTATTGTTAAGTGAATGACGAACCCTGCTTCAATTTTAATAGCAAAGAAGCTATCTACAGAGAATAAAGCTCAACCAGATTTTCTCTACGCTAAATATTTCAAGCACAAAAAAGGAGCCTAGTGAACAATTAATGTTATAGTGCCAGACAAAAATCCTGTAACAGATTGTCAAAAGAGAAGTTTTAAGCAAAACCTTAGTCCTTCCAAATCAATATATACCTTACTTCCCACTGTTAATTTTACATTTCCTGTTTCGTATCCACGAATTAGCATCTACAACTCATTTCCTAAATTGAAGTCAAGTGAGCTTAACTTTTCTGAGTAACTCATTACTCAATTTATGACATCACCTCGACTGAAATGGTTAATGTCAATGAATTATAAGGGGCAGATTTAGAACATTTATAGCAACCATCACAATGAAGTAAATATTGATGAGAAAAGTATGTTCAAAAGTGATCATTCCCTAAATTGAACTCAAGTGACAATGTCTTAAAGATTAACCTTTCTAAGTTACTCATTACTCAAATTTATGCTCGCAAATAAGGTAAATGTCCATGAATTAGATGAGAAGATATAGAACATACATAGAAACCATCACAATGAAGTAACTATTGATATTAAAAAAAAAAAAAAAAAAAATTCTTAGCTACTCACATTAGACACCTAAGAATTATCAAAATAATTTTGGGGTCCATTTTGCATGGCTTCTACTTTTGCTTCCCATTTCAGTCTCAAAAGCTCTTTTTTACATTTTAAAAATCATGCTAACTGGGTCCTTAATCCACTAAGGACATAGAAAAGAGAGCATGTAATGATAATTATTAGATAAAGAAATAATGAAGAAAACGTTTTTTTATTTTATTGTACATAAATCTTACACTTCACCTTCAATATATACTACAATACAATGAATGGAAAAAGGAAAGATAATATTCTACCACAAATTATTTCCTAAATTAGTCCTAAATATTACATACTACAAATATTACAATCTCCATAACTGAAGCATGATTGATACGTGATTTTCACACTACCCCTCAAGTTGGATCGTAGATATCGATCATATCCAACTTGCAGATGCAATCATCGAATATTTGTCTCTGTAGTCCTTTGGTGAATGCGTCTGCAGTCTGTTTTTCGGTAGGAATGTAGATCATGCAAATAGTTCCACTTTCAATTTTTCCCTTGATGAAATGTCTGTCCATCTCTACATGTTTGATTTTATCATGTTGAAAGGGTTGAGTGAGATATTGATAGCTGTTTTATTATCACAATAGAATTTGTTCGGAAATTTTGAGAGAATCTGTAGTTCATTTAAAAGTTTCTTCAGCCATAAACCTTCATATATTCCTTAAGCAGCTACTCTAAACTTTGCTTCCGCGCTACTTTTGGCTACTACATTCCGTTTCTTACTTCTCCACGTTACCAAGCTTCCCATACAAAAGTACAATAGCCAGTGGTTGATCTCCTATCTTCTGTTGCTCCAGCCAAATCCACATCGGTGAATACTTCTACATCTCTTTTCTCATTTTTCTTGAATAGTAGTCCTTTTCCAGGTGAGCCCTTAAGGTATCTCAAAATCCTATATACTGCTGCTTCTAGATATGTTTCCCTTGGAGCATGCATGTGTTAACTTACCACGCTTACTGCAAATGCAATATCTAGTCTAGTATGAGATAGGTAAATTAATTTTCCCACCTTGATATCTCTCCTTTTCAACAAATTCTCCAGTATTATCTATTTTCCTTACCATGTCCATGGTAGTATCACATGGTTTACACCCGAGCATACCAGTTTCAGCAAGGAGATCTAGAACATATTTTCGTTGTGACACACTGATCCTATTCTTTGACCTAGTTACATCCATTCCTAGAAAATATCGCATTTATCCCAAGTCTTTCACTTCAAATTCTGCATTTAATTCTCTTTTTAGCCTTTCTATCTCAACTGCATTATCTCCGGCGAAAAATATGTCGTCAACATAGACAATTAGGTAGCATGATCTGATTGCCCTTGTTGGTATTCCTGTCCTTTTAAAACGTTTGCAAATCTATCAAACCATGCCCTATGTAATTGTTTTAAACCATAAATGATTTCTTCATTTTGCATACACCCCCTTCATTTTTCTCAGAAAATCCAAGTGGTGGTATCATATAGACTTCTTCTTGCAACTCCCCATTCAGAAATGCATTCTTAATATCCGACTGTTGGAGTTGTTAATCCATATTTGCTGCTAGTGATAGGATAACTCGGATTGTGTTCAGTTTTGCAACTGGTGCGAATGTTTCTGTGTAATCTATGCCATAGGTTTGAGTATATCCTTTTGCAACCAGACGAGCCTTGTACCGTTCTATCGCTCCATCTGCTTTATATTTCACATTAAGCACCGATTTACGCCCAACAAGTTTCTTTACTCTTGGAAGTTCCACCACATCCTAGGTTTTGTTTGCTTCCAAAACTTTCATTTCATCCATCACTGCTTTTCTCCACTTCGGAATTTTTTTTTTTTATAGATAATTTTATTACTTAAAAAAGAATACACGGGGGGGTGTACAATCACTTTAAGCCAGTAAGGAACAACATGAAATTAAGCAACCCGTCTAAAGGATCTTTAGTCACACCATTAAACCAAAAATACAAAGTAAAGTAAAATCTTTCTTTTATCTGCTCTCTTGTCTTTGTTTGGTCTTCGAAGTAGCAGTTGTTCCTTCCTCTCCACACGCACCATATAATGCAACCCAGGATAAGGTGCTATGCTAGTTTGCTATTCTTATCACGAAGTTTTCTCCTCCATGCCCATAACACGTCCTCTATACGACGAGGCATCACCCAATCCATAGATTGAGAACCAAGTATACCGTTCCAAATCCAACGAACACCATCACAATGAATGAACAAATGATCAATCGTCTCCCCATCCTTCTTGCACATATAACACCACTCGGTTACGTAAAAGCCTTTATGACGAAGATTATCCACCGTTGAGACATATCCCCTCACAATTGTCCACAATAAGAATGCCATCCGAGGAAACAATTTACATTGTCACACCAACTTCCAGGGGAATGAATTATCCACACATCTCAGGAGGGAACATACAATCACCCTCTCCTACCCGAATTTGTGCCTCATGTAGAAAGGTCATAAACAAAGAATAATCATCCAATTCCCAATCTCGTAGACCCCTCCCAAAAGTAATATTCCAACTATAGCTTCCATTATGAATGAGTAAAAGATCGATCACCATAGCAGAGGGCACTGAGACAATGCGGTGCAAGGAAGGAAATCCCTCCTTCAACGGTTGATCTCCACACCAACAATCATCCCAAAATCTAATCTCATTACCACTTCCGACCACAAACTTCAGTTTATCCAGAAAATCACTCCATCCCCGTCGGATATACCTCCACAAACTCACCCCATAAGAACCATGATCCTCAACCGTACACCATCCCCCATCGGTCACACCATACTTCGCCCCAATGATTTCTTTATAGAAGCTCTCCCTCTCCACTCCAACTCGCCACAACCACTTGCCAAATAAGGCCCTATTGAACAACACAAGGCTCCTCACTCCAAGACCCCCCATCCTCACCGGCAAACAGACAATACCCCAATTTACCAAATGGAGTCTCCTCTCCTCCCCCAACCGTGCCCACAGAAATTCTCTTTGAAGTCTTTCTAATCTCTTTGCCACTGCGACCAAAATGGGGAACAATGACAAAAAGTAAGTAGAGAGATTGGAGAGAGTGGATTCAATGAGAGTAATTATGCCTCTCTTAAAAAGGTACATACGCTTCCACCCTGCTAACCTCTCTCCATCCTTTCCATAATACCATTCCAGATATGTGTACTTTTAAATCGTGCCCCTAACGGGAGCCCTAGTTATGACATCGGCAGCTGCGCAACCTTACAACCCAATATATTAGCTAGCTTCTCCACGTTATCGACCTCCCCTGCTGGAATAGTCTTAAGACTTCCCCAAATTGATCCACTTGGGAA